ATTTAAAATAAAAAATATTCAAAAACCCGGTTGGACCCCGGTTGAACCGGTTCGACCGTGACCCAGTTGACTAGCCGGTTCAATGTCCGGTCCGGTTTTCAAAACATTGCATATATCAATAAATGATTACATAGATTTATAATTAGTAGCCTAATTAAAAAGGCTGAAGACCCATTGATTAATTGGTTTAGGAAAAAAATAAAAGGATTACTTAAAATAGTGTAATTATTTTTTCCCACTATATATATATTTCAAATTAGTGCTTGTCTATGGGAAACCACTCAAAATTAGTGCATTCTACAGTGGATTATGTGTGTTGCAAATGGTGATTATATCATCCTAAAAATTAATTATTACTTTATTAGCACTCCACATTGTTTTTATTGGTTAATTTAATTTTCAAATCTACAATCGATCCATTTTTCTTTTTCCTTATATAAAACGATGAAGTACAACGATTTGATAATAACTGAAACGTGGCGATCGTAATTACCCCAATTAGTCGAATAACGACATTCTTATTATTCCCACGTGGAGAGCGATAATCGGATAAAAATGTCACTTAATTAGATTGTTCGCGCTTAAAAAATTATCATTTAATTATTGATCTTGATTAGTGTTTCCTGGCAAAACGACAACTAGATTAAAATATTTAAAAAAAAAAATCTAAAATCATTTTTAGATGCTTCAAGGAATCACAATTATTTTAGTACAAATCATGCATCCATCTTCAACTTACTAATAAAAAAATTATATATATTTCTTGATGAATTAAAAAAATCACTAATATAATTTTCAAGAACAAGAAGTAATTGATAAGAAAATAGATCAACTGATGATTCATCTGATCAAATATAATCCATTCAGAAAATCAAACAAAACAAAACAAAAAGAAACAACATAGGAATAGTATAAATCAGATGATATATATGTGTGTGTAAATATACCTTAAACACACACCAAACTCATAATCTTCCAAGGATTAATTAATTAATAATCCCTACATGGGAAATTAATCTTGCAAAAACCAGCTTTCTGCTTCTTCAATTGCTATTCATCTTCTTCCTCTTCCACAAAGCTAGTCCATTCAAGAAACGGCGCACGCAAGAATATTTCCGAGCATTCTTACACGTGGGGCCCGCCTCGTTCTTCGCCCGTTTTTCCGACCACACGTCAGCATGATGAGAAAGATCGTCGTCGATTCTTGATCCACTGAGATAAGGCTGCTTCATAAAGTGCCTCTCAATTAAATTGTTTATAGCAACTACTTCATATGAATCATATAAAGGGCTCCCACAATCCCACACCCTAATTATTTCTTCATTTTCCGACACTTTGTTTTTCGACATAGCCATGTTCTTCTTCAAATTTTTTTTTTGGAATTTATTTTGACAGTTATTTAAATGAATAATAGAGTGTGATTTGTTGGGGATAAGAGTGACAGATGTGCTTATTTAATGTTTGTTATCTGTCCTAAAACATGTGATAATTATACATGAATGGTAAGTATAATAACCCTAATAAACCGTTTAGCCTACGTAACAACCTCATTATATTTTTTTCTATTTGGAGCAAGATTTTAAACCTTGTACTCAAATTTAAGGTTTGGAGTTAGTTCAAAATTGATATCTTTGTTCATAACATTTAATGTTGGGAAATTAAATAACTTTTGTCACTAAGATATGGACTAGTAAATTTTGTACCTAACACAAGAGGGACTTCTAGTATATACTATATAGTATATATATTAGTACATTAACATATATATGTGTGTGTGTGTGTGTTATCTATATATATATATATAAAGACAATCTATAGGCCTAAAATGATGACACGTGGCGCTTAGGGTTTCAAAATCTAAGAGTATTTTTTGTAATTATTTGATAATCTTAGGACTATTTTTAGAATAAAAAAAACCAACTCACGCAACTTTTCAATCTGAACGTTCGTGTAACTGCTCTTGGCGTCTTCTCGCCTCAACTTCTTCCACGATTATTTATTTTCTCAACTTCGTCTTCTAATATAACTTCTTCTCTCCTTTGTCTTCAATTCTTATGTTTTTAATTCCTAATCGTATTCTTCATGTAAATCTCTATAATTGTTCTAATTTAATTTTACATCTTCATCTGTCTTTTATATATTCCTAAACGTGTTCCTAAGCAGCGAAGATGAAGGACCACCAAATGCGATTCATCGTCGGCATCATTGGTTGTAGTTTATGCTTTTTTCTCTCACTATTACTCGATCTGTGATTTTTTTTTTGTGGCATGCAATGTGTACGGATTTTGTATGTATATAGCCATGGCGTGATTTATGAGAAACAACTATTATATTTTGTTCTACTGTTTCGTAGATTGATGTATGTAATGTGCATACAATTAGGATTTTGGATTCTGCTTATACTCATTTACTGCATATTTGTTCGTTCTCATGTAAATATATATGAATTAAATATTATCCCCATTAATAAATCTACAAAATACTGCTTGATCTTCCGCTGGATTGTTGGTTGTAGTATTTTCCAGCAGTGTTTGCTATGAAATGTGGCGCTTTAGGGTTTCAAAACCCCAGGGCAATTTTTATAATTTTTTGATTGTCGTAGGATTATTTTGCAATATATAAAACACATTGGTATAACTCGGTCACAAGATACATGTGTTCCATTATTTTTAAATGTCCAACAGATTTTGCAAAAACAAAGGTTATTTATTTTGTGCAAAGGTACTATATAATTAATTTCACTTTTTTCCCTTTTTTTTTCCAATTACTCCATGTTATGTTTAGATGTAGTTTTTTGATTTCATGCAATTTTACATGTTAAATCTTTTGGTCTTTGTGTACTATGAGTGAATTTATATGAAGGACCAACTGTAAGTACTAAAAAAATTGATATTTAAATAGCATAAAATATTTTTTTTCGATGAAAAAAAATTCCGTGAAATTAATGTAGGGAATGATATTTTGGAGATGTAACGGGCTTCAATTAGACGGATTTACGAAAATTAACGGGCCCGGAAGCCATATGTTGATTATGTCGAGTAATGACGTTGTGGTCTCTAATCTCCGAGTAATCGCACCGGGGGTAGCCCTAATACTGATGGAATTGACATTTCTGGATCAACAAAAGTGCAAGTTAGAAATTCGTTCATTGCAACAGGTTATTAATTTTATTTATTTATTTAATGTTACTATTTTCTCTAATTAATTAAATTGTGTGTATTTGACTATTTGTAATTTTGTATAGGTGATGACTGCATTGCTATTAGTGCGGGCTCTTCTAATGTTGATATTAGTGGAATAACATGCGGGCCGGGCCATGGTATCAGGTTATTTGGCTAATTTTTCGAAGTTTATTTCTATCTAAAAAATCATATACAGATCTACCTTTTTTTTTTTTTTTTTGCAAATTTAATTTCTAAATTAATTAGTTTTCATTTCAGCATCGGATAACTGGGAAGCGGAGGATTCGACGCTGTAGAAAACGTACGTGTTCGTAACTGTACACTGAAAGAAACAATCACTGGAGTAAGGATAAAGACTATACAGGTTAGCACAAACAGTAATTATTCAAGATAATTGTGTTAATTATTTCCTTAATATTTTGATTAACTTTGCATTATCTGGTCAACATAATTTGAGTTGACTTTTATTTTTGTTGGCAGGGAGGAAAAGGGTATGCAAGAAATATATCATTTGAAGGAATAAAGTTTGTGGCAGTGGATAATCCAATTCAAATGGAACAATTTTATTGCCCTCTTAAAAAATCGAACAAGTTTGTGGCAGTGGATAATCCAATTCAAATCGAACAATTTTGTTGAACTTATATTAATTGTGTAGTGGTTCAAGGAGTATTGGATTTTGACCAGATGTTTGTTTTTATTGAAAAAATGGCCATTTGTGTATTGGACTATCGAAAATATGTGTTGACTGTTGAGTTTGTGAAGATGTACTAATTAGGTTTAGTTTTTCCTTTTTCTACACAAGTTGTAATCTGCTTTATGAGTAATAACAATGTTGTGACAGATATCTGAGATGATCTCCGATCTGCATTCAAGGCTAATATGACGCTTGCACAAACAATTATGCATGGAGATGTGGTTATTGTTTAAAATCTTGACTTAGCGCTATGATGAGAGAGGTTTGTACTTTATACTAAAATTTGGTAATTAAAATAATGTGGTTCAAAGTCATCTAATACAATTGCAAGTTCGTTGTAGGAAAAAAGTTAGTCTTTTGTATCAATGTTCAGTGTATTTTTTTTTTTTGCAGGTTCAATATATGGGCAAGTCTAATTATTATTGTTTCAAATTCAGACTGTACATATTAAGCTCTACCATGAGGCTCGACCACATTCTCTACTAAGTATATTTCAATATTATTTGACATATGTTTGGTGTTTAAAGATATTTATTTGTCGATAAGTTATGTATTGAATCTTATTCTATATACGTGCATAAAGAAATATAACGATGCATCTTAATGGAAATGCAAATTTTCCTTTTTTATATCGATATGCCCTCGCATCACAAATATTTCAACAGTTGTGTTTAAATATAATTTATTTCATTGGGAAAATGATAATCTTGGAGGTTCTTTGAATCTCTATTGCTTCACTTCTCTATTATTACGCCATTGCTACAAGTCAGTTATTTTGGATAAAATTCATATTATATATATTGCATTCTGAGAAATAGTTGAATAGTCTATTTTAATGATATCATATTGACTCATAATTTGGTTGATCTGTACATAAAAAGTATATATTTTTTTTATTCCTTTACGTTTCCTATTTACTCCCCGTGCATCGCACGGGTGAAGTACTAGTATATACATAATGGAGCATGCTACATGAGGTTCAATGTTTCTTTATTTATTTAATTTGTTGTACAATGTACTAAAATTCAATCGAAATTTCACCAAACAATTCAGATCAAACATTGTATAATGAATCATAGGTATAATTTTGCTAATATTTTTAACACGATGATTCTTTTTTACAATTAGAGCAAACATAGGGGTGCTAAATGCAATAAACTCCACCTACAACTTTATACACAATTTCAAGAACTTTTATTATCCGGACAATTTTACCCATCAAAACCTAGTAAAACAATGGAAAAACTACACTTGTTGCATCAATTCAAACACCCAAAAAAAAAAAAAAAAAGAAACCAAATTAATTCACAAGAACCCTAATAAGCACTGCTAAAGTAGCTCTTAACAACATTAACAGACAATATCTGCAGCACATCACCATTATTGGGGCCCACACACCTCGGCGTTTTGAACTGGCTAACCGCAGCTCCCAATCCAACGTAGTGATCCAATATCTTGTGAAAAGTACCCTTCCTCACAATCCTAAGCTCCAACGGACCAATTGAGTTGATCTTGCGGGACCCGACGTAGCCCGCGTCGACAAATGACCTGTCCAAACAGTTGCAGCATTCTTGGAGGACTTCGTTGTTTTGCGGGTCCCCGCTTATTTCCCAGAAGACCACGTAGTGTCCGGGGTCGACGGCCGAGTTGACTCGGCTCGTGAAGTCAACGAGTTCTTGCTTTTCCGAGGCTAAGAGATTGGCCGCCGATTCGACGGCGATTTGGAGATCCTTTTCGGTGTTCTTGTCTATATTGACCGTGAGGAGGAGGTTTCTCCTGCAGATGAATTGGAGCTCCGGCGTCGAGTTGTGGAAGCCTTTGACTTTGACCACGTCTCCTAATCTGTAACGGTACAATCCTACAAAATAAAATTTAAGGAAAAAAAAAAGTTGTGAACTTTAACCCAAAAAAAGAGTCAGCAGATGTAGAAAATTAATTTAAATATGAAAAAAGTCCCATAATCATATTCTTAAAAGAAACAAAAAAGAAAATAATTAATTAATTAATAAAAAAGGTCCTTATTTCTCCTGCAATTATGTCTCAACAACTTGACATTAAAAAAAACAAACTGTCACCATTCTCAGTGCACCATGTTGTGTCTGAATTCTAATATTATAACAAGAACCATGTGCCATGCCAAATATTATAATTAGTCACACTAAAAAGATTATCTTTTTAATGTGACTTAGTGAAGATCTAATCATTTTGTTTAATCATACTTAAATGATTCAACATGACAACCACTACAAGATAAAGACAACTTATTAAACCTTAAAAACCCAAGATTAAGCCAATCAATCAATCAATCAATCAAACAAGATCCAAAACCAAAAGATCTACGGCTGAGAATGAAAGTAGTGTAGTAACATTTACCTGCAAAATTAGTGACAATAATCTCGTACTCCTCCCCTACCTCGACTTCAGTCAACCCTACGGCGTCTCGCTCTCCTCCATCCGAACCTTCCTTCAAAGGTATAAATTCGAAATACCCGATATTGGGAAGAACCGCAAAAGTAGCCATCTCGGGCGGCAATAACGGGTTCACATTCGCCCCGACCCATCCTTCGGACGACCCGTAATCCGCACTCAACAGGGGCAACCCGCCCGCGTAATGCCTCAGCTTCTTCAGATAGGGCTCCATCGAACCGGTCATAATACCGTATATATACTTCGTATTCGGGAAAAGCTCCTTTATAACCCCATACCAGTTACTCAACCCAGCGCACGTTTGATAGATCTTATCCGCCAGCTCAGCGTTCGGCTCGAGCAGCTTTGTGACAGCTGTTCGAACCGAAGGGACTGTGATTCTGCTATTTAAAGACCCTTTTCGAATATCGGTGACAAGATCTTCCCATACTTGTTCGAATGTTCGAAAAGCGTGGACTATGCTGTGTGCGAATGTGGAGGAAACTACTTGGATTTTGTCACGGGAAATTAGGCCACATAACAGGTGGCAGTATAACGATTGGTTGAAATCAGGCCCGAAAATGACTTCGTCCGGGCTGCAGCATGGGGTTTGCATGGCCCGCATTGTTTTCTTGAATTTTTCGTTTCGGTAAACATTTGTGGTGGCTGTGCCAGCTGCTAAGCCGCCTTTTGTCTTGAATTGTTTGCTGCTGTATATGAACTGCAGTGCTTTTCCATTTGCTATTGGATATTCCCTGCACAAAAAAAAAAATCGAATTTTTAGGCTAAAAAGATTACGTTTCATCGTTTTTATCTCGCTAGTGGTTTCTATTAGCAGAAAAAGCTGTTTTTTTTTTTTTATCTTGCTTGAAGGAGCAGATAAACAAAATATTCCAATTCCAACAAAAAAAATAATGTAGATGGACCGTAATGCCTTCCCATTGCTAAATCGGGATATTCCCTGCAAAAAGATTGATTTTTTACGGCAAAAATATTATGTTATCTTGCTGGCTGTTTTCTATTAACAGAAGAAGTTTTATCTTGTTTAAAGGAGCAGATAACAACAATATATCCCAATTCCAACAAAAGAACTGATGTAGGAAATTGGATATTATTCTCTGCAAAAAGATCGAATTTTTAAGCCAAAAAGTTACTCGAATATTGCGTTTCAATTAGCAGACGAAACTTTTTTATCTTGTTTAAAGGAGTAGAGAAAGAATATATCCCATTTCAACAAAAGCACCAATGTATTAGACAGCCGATTTACCTGTTCCTAAACGCAAACGAGGTCTTGTAAATCTGCATCGTGCTATCCATCAATTCGTCGTTGAAAGGCACAAACTTTGGCTTCCCTTGAGTTGTACCGGAACTGCAAACAAAACCTCAATTTTCTCAAAAAACCTCGTACACTACTAAATAAAACAACAATAAATAAATAAATTAATTAACAAACCGCACCTCAAAGAAATGGTGGTAATGGGTTTTCCGGTGAGGGCGGAGGGGCTTTTGCCGTCGGCAATACGTTGAATGTAAGGCTCCAAGTCCACGTGAGAGACGAGAGGGACACGTGTCTTGAAACTATGAGGATCTGTTCTTCCATTGAGCCCCCATCTCTGCAAATACTCTGATTCTCCATTTTGTTCCAAGATTGTTCTTAGGGTCTCTCTCTGAACTCTCTCTGCATCTCTAGATAGCGCCTCGAATTCTTCGATAACCGCCTCCGGATCCAATCTCTCCTCCATTTTCTCCAACATTTCTCTCACTAAAATTCAAATCAAGAAAAGCTGGAAACTTTTCAACTAACCCCTTTAGAGAAATCACAATCTTGAAACAGAGCAAGTTAAGCAAAAATTAGAGAAATAACAGCAGTATTTATAGGAGAGGTGTTTTCCTTCTATCTAAATATAGAAAAATAACAGATTAGATGAATTGAAGGGCTGTGACCTAAAATCATCTACACATCATTAATTAATGCATGAAAAAGATACGATTTTTATTCCCAAGATTTCAAGAAAAAAGGGAAAAACAAATGGGATCCCAGAAATTAAGAATATGAAAAAAGTTTCAGATTCATTTTGATTTCCAATTACATATATATAAAAATAAATAAATATATATAAACACGAGAATCACGTACAATTAAAAAGTTCTCAAGAAAAGGAAGAAAAAAAAAAGTTGAATAAAGAAACTTCCAGAAAGATATACACACAACAAATCAAAAAACACTTAAAAAACACTAGAAGCAAAACCCACATAAAAAAACAAAAGAAAGAAGCAAAATTCACAAACCTTCAGCTCTTAATTTATATATATACTCTGCTTGAGGAAAGTGCAAATGGAAAGGAGAAACAGGGGGGAATAAAAATGGAGTCTTTTTTATGTAAATAACGGTTTTGATCAAAAGTGGGGGGTTTTGATTTCTTCACCAAAGTGTCAGTGTGTGTTTGTGTGTGAGAGAGAAAGAAAGAAACTGGATTTTCTTGATTTTTTTTGGAGGTTTGGATGCACTGTGGTTGAAGTGAGGAAAGCAAGAAATTTTGTGCAAATGGAGAGTGAGACAGACAGACAATTGTAGGGGTGGATTGGTGTCTATCTAACCCAAGATTCTCTCTTTCAGACAAATTAAAATAAATAAATTAACAAATTAAAAATTAAAAATTAAAAAAAAAATCAAGAAATGGTGGGGTACTTCAATTAGAGGTTTTAGCTTTCTATGAGATCCTACGCATAGTGAAATACACGATGCGGTTTTAAACACGTAAATTTATGATTTTTATTTTATTTTATTATTATTATTATTTTGTTTGATAGGCAACTCCCTAAGCATTTATACACTGGGTGCAGGGGCGGACCTCGAGTTTTCTTGGAGGATTGAAATATTGGGGTAATTTAAGAGAATATATATATTTTTTTTATAGATTAAAGTATACAGAATTAAAAGTTTTGGGGACGAAAGTACATTAACTAATACATAAATAACAAAAAAAAAAATTGCTTACAAAAAATTCTTGGGGGCGAGGTCACCCCAGCCATATGCATGGGTACGCCTTTGACTGAGTGTGTGTGTTATTAAATATAGTTCGATGATGTAATCAAACTATATAGTGTACTTTACTAGGTGTAGGTTCTACAAAATGAGTTCGTAATTCAATTTTGTCTAGTTACGTGTACTTGCTAGGTAGTTAGTTATCGGTACTATATTTTGGACATTGACCTTCATTTTAAGTTTGGTTTGCAATTAGCTCCATAATCCATGCAAAATGCAAAATGTATGGAATGCTCAATACATGTAACCAAACATCCCTTATTCCTCCTCCAAATGTATAATTATCGTTCCCAAACATGTCCGAATCTTCCCAAAATTACAACAAAAAATCAGAAAAAATGCATTTGAATTTGATAAATAAATTATAAAAAAAAAAGACAGAATATTTTCAAACACTAGAAGTTAAATTATTATGATCAAAAAGCTATTAACATGTTTTAAAAATGTTTTTTTTTAATAAAAAGTACATTACTCCAACTACTTTATAGTCCTTGTCTTTTAGGGGTCATGGCTTGCTTTTTTATTTCATGTGTTTAGATCAATTTAAATCTTAATTAAGATACTTGTTAATGACATACCGGTCCTAAATTGTACCACTAATTAAGAAACAAACAAAAGAAATTGTTCCAACTTCCAAACTTTTTATTGGGCGGTTTTTGTAATTATTAAATTTAAATTGCAAGTACGCTACTTCCAAAAGTTGCTGCATGTTGAAAAATTAGGTACTATTTATCTAAATATTTAATAGATAATTTTGAGCATTTTTTTTTAAAATAAATTTATGGAGGTATATACTAGAAATATTATTAGACATTACTATAGGAATCCATGCTTCAATTTATTTTGGAATTAATATGTTTTTGTTTTATTAACTTAAGCAAATCACGTTTAAGAGTAATTTGGAAGTGACAAATAATATAGAAAAAAAAACTGTAAAACGAATTTTAATTTAAATTGAAAAAAAAAATACTTTATTTAATGGAATGTAAAGAAAAAGGTAGAAAATGCCAAGAAACAACAATATGGGCCCCACCATTTTCATTGTAATTGACTCCCAAACAATAGGACGAAATGGTTCCCAAACCACAAATGCATCGATCGCCAAAATTATTCGGGTCGGGTCGGGTCGGGTCGGGTCGCAAAATTCAATTAAAAAAATCCGATTAAAATAATCCGGCCCTTATTATTATTATTATTATTATTATTATTATTATTATTATTATTATTATTATTTGGGCCATAATTGGACATTTTGATATTCGTGCATGGATCTTTTTAATATGAAGTGGACCTCGATCGGCCCAATAATACAAATATCACCATAAAAATAGATTTAGATCCAATATTATATTTGAGACGATATTTTATAAATATCGTTTCAGTTTTAATAATATTGTTTCACTTTCAAACGTGATTTTGACAAATTTTTAGGTTGAATTTGGCAAAACTCGTAACACTGAAACAGTAGCCCTCTGAGTTTAGTTTGTAATTCAATTAGAATCACAACAATTGGATATTAGATGAGAAAGATATTAACGAATTTATGAGCACTGCTACGACTCTGATGTTTTTGAGTTGTCAAAAATTCAAAACGTAAATCATTCATACATAATTTTGTCACCGACATTCAATCAGCTGATTCAAATTGAATTAGAAAATTCAACTTGAATGACTACAGTTGGATTATAATATAAATGTTTCAAAATCACGTCAAAAGTCAAAACAATATTAATAAAATTGAAACGACATTTAATATTAAATATTTCAGATTTGTCAATACTCTACATAATATATATATTAAATATTTTTTTGCAAACATCACATGTGACATACATTAATTAAACTCTTAAAACTAAATCATTTTTGTGGGTGATAATTGTACTCAAGGCTTTCCTAATATGTGAATAAATTTATAAAAACACACTATATGACTTTAGACGTCACCATTTATTCTAAAATTAAACAGACAATTGTTTTTAAACCTAAGTTAACACACATAATTAAATGAAAATTTATGCTAAAAAAATAAATTAAATAAATAAAAAAATAAAATTGGATGTGAACTGTTAACCCCCTAATAATTCATGATGTCTATGTGGGCCTGTAATGGGTGACCAAAAACCATATTATATTGATGCATCGCCGGATACCACCTACTTATTGTGGCCCAAATTCACCTACCTACTTAATTTTATTTAAAAAAAAACTATATAAATATTTGATTTTTTTTAAAGATTACATTTATTATACATTCATAATGGATTCATACTCTTCACATTGTCCTTAGTGTAACTTCAAGAGCCTTTATTATTATTTATTATTGTTGTTTCATGAGGCACTTCTTTATTTTTTGTATAGTCATTGATGTTGACAATTATATTTTGATTTATAATTTATTTTGTGGCTAATGTAATGTAATGAATTTATTGTAATAAGTTTTGAAATACTTTGCCTAAATTCGTGTATTGTACCATCGATATACTTTTATACTAGTTAATCGCCATAACTGCAAAAACAGTGTAATTTTAATTGAATCAATATTTTTTGTGTTTCTCGAATTCAGCAGTGAGTAAACGAACGAACTAGTACATTGATAATATTTTTAATATTTAATATACAAATATGAATGATTAATGCAATAAAATTAAAACCATTTGCCATTTCATGCATTTTCACATCCAAGTAAATTAAATATGCTATATTTATTTAAAATTATAGTACCAAAAGGGGAAATTTCATAAAAATATTCCAAAAGAAAAAGGAAAATCATTTAAAAGTAAATATTCCTAAAGGTACAACCATCTAAAGCACGAGCTGGTAAATCACAGGGGAAAACATAATCCTCTGCTTCTCATCAATAATTAAGCTCTTTCACTCGCCGTCACTTACACACACACAAATACACTTACTGTGTGCCGCATTTTCTCCTGATTTACTCTCTCTCTCCGCCGGCACCTGGAAGAGACTGTAGGCGCGTAGTATGCACGCCTGATTCGATCGTTGTAGACCTAGGTTTTTTTTTTTTTTTTTTTTAATTTAAAAAAAAAATTAGTGATTTGATTATTTGATCGATCGATTTTTGGGGGAATTGAATTTGATGGCGTCTGAGGATGTAAAGGCGAGCGATTCGGCTGTGTCGAAGATTGTGAATTTAGCGGAGGAGGCGAAGCTCGCCAAGGAAGAAATCAAGCCTACTAGATTTCAAGTTTACAGTGTTTGCAAGTCTCTTTTCGCCGGTGGTGTCGCCGGAGGAGTGTAAGTATTGAATTTGTGTTTGCTATTTAGCATTTTATCTCCGTGTGTGTAAAGCATGTACGCGGTGATCGACTTTGCATCTTTCAGATATTTTATTTTGGAAGAATTGGATGTATTATTGATTGATACGTTTGGCTAAGGAAATTATATTTTCTTACGATTTTATTTAACGCAAGTGGATTAGGTTTAATTGTTCTGATTGGGCTGTAAATTCCACATATTGCATGGGGTTTGTGAAGTTTTTTGTATCTGTTTTTCTTTAATTGGAATTCTTTCTTCATGAGTTTTGCTGTTTGCTTAGCATTTAATTATGGGAGAATGAGTTTTTGATTTTCAATGTCATTTATTTCTGCAAATGGTTATATAGACAGAATTTTCCTACTTTGTTGGAGAGAGAATTTCGAAAGTTTGAGTTGATTGAAGAAAAAGATTCCATTTTCAACATTTTATTTTTTATTTCTTTTCAACGTACGAGATGCATTTGAAAATTTACAGTCCTGAAACTTAGTAAGAGGATACTTTTGCTCTACCATTGAGGAGTAATTGCAGCGGTAACAGAAATATAAAATTTTACTCTGTTTTCATACCACCATTCATGGTATTTTGCAGAAATCTTGTTAAAAGTAATAATTGCTTGTAGTGCTAGCTGATGGTTTCTTATGGAAACTCGAACTTGGCGTGACTGACTTGCTGCATGCTCATCACAGGTCACGAACTGCTGTAGCTCCATTGGAGCGTTTAAAAATTCTGCTCCAGGTTTGTTATGTTCTATTTAGCAGCAATTTGTTACCCTATCTCATCTAAATGGTCGTGTTCTAAAATGAAGGGTCATAAGCACAGCAACTATGGCATTGCGGAGAAATGTTCTGAATTATGACACTGACTTTTTCAATTAACTCTGTTTATCTTTTCGCTTTTTTTCTGCCGTCTTTTGAGGTGCTTGACTATTCAATGTAACGGAACCATCATTTATTAGCTAATGTATTGTGGAAAGCTACTCTCTCTTAATTCTGGTGTGATTTTCATTTTGTATCAGGTTCAAAATCCACACAATATAAAATACAGTGGTACAGTTCAAGGCTTGAAGTATATTTATAGAACTGAAGGCTTTAAAGGATTGTTTAAAGGCAATGGCACTAATTGTGCTCGTATTGTCCCAAATTCGGCAGTAAAGTTCTTCAGCTATGAGCAGGCATCCAAGTACGGCCCTCCAACAGCATAAATGTTATAACTTCTTTTGGTTATTATGACAGATTTTGCAGTCAGTGCTGATTATCTTTACACTTCTTTGTTTGTGAATTTCTAAGTGCTAGTCTGCTAGATGATTTAATTTTCAGTTCTGATGGTTTAAGAAAGGGTGGATTGATCTTGTCCTACAGAATGATTGGGAAGAATATTACTAGGTGGAAAAGTTATATTTCATCGTGTGAATGCAACTAAATAAATTCATTTAACAGATATCAAAACCGTGCGAAGAGTTTTGCAGATTCTAACTTGTCGTTTAACTTGTATGAAAATTGAGGATTTTCTTTGATGACGAGAATATGTAAGTTTCGTGGAAACTAATATATTTGATGAGATATTGCGTGAGCTCCGAATTATATCCCTCTAACGTTGTAGCATAATAAAAGATTTTTGAAACAGGTGTATGTGTTTGATGGTTTAGGAGATCTACATTTTTTTCCCTAAACTATCTTGTTGAACTGCTTTGTGTCTATCAATATATTTTTCTCCTCCTCTTTAGGTAGATACAAATGTGTTTATCTTTGGTTGACGGAATTAAAATTTTGAAATGGTTAGCTGGTATGTGAGTGAACTCCTACTAAAGAGTTCTGAACTTGAAACTTTTAGTTTTGGCTGTTTAGCCAATTTAATTTTATATGTCATGATTCATGATGCGGTTCTGTTACTATTATAAATTGCATATAAGCAACCTTATTTGTAGGTATTTAACCTTTTGTAGCTAATGACATTTGATTGATTATGTTTTTTGTGTTGCAACAGGGGCATATTATACTTGTACCGTCAGCAAACTGGTGATGGTATGTCTTTGATATTATGCTCATGAAATATTTTCAACTTTTTAACCTCTGCTTCACCATATGAGCCTATAATTCATGTCTAAAATTTCACAAAACTTTGACAATTACACAATTTTCCCCCTTCTTTTTTGGAGTTTGTGATCTGGCATCTGCTTTTGCTGGTTAGATGATCCGATCCACATGGTGATTTCTACGTTTATTTATTTAATCATTACATTTATAAATATCTATCTCTGATAATAATCCGTCTAAATCCAAATACTGAAAATCTTTTTAACACTAAAACTGCGCAAGTAGTGCGTCTTATGAGTTTAGTTTGTGGCCAGATATGATATATGAGAGACAGTTTCGGCAATTTGGAATATGTGCTTCTCGTCTATATAGTTACAATCTTGAAGACAACGCCCACTAATTTCTCCATCATCAATTTATACATGATTTAAGGACCATTTGAGTCACCGAATAATATGTCTGATTTTCCTTAAACCTTCTTGTAGAGGATGCTCAGCTGACTCCTTTGCTACGTCTGGGTGCGGGAGCATGTGCTGGGATAATTGCCATGTCAGCCACATATCCAATGGATATGGTTAGAGGCAGACTTACTGTACAGGTATTACAAATCCTTTCGGACTAATCTTTCGTGCACGCTATTTAGTAAGCTTGTGCTTAAAAATCACAATATTTACCTATTTTCTTCTCTACTGCAGACCGATAAGTCCCCTTATCAGTACAGAGGAATGTTTCATGCTTTATCAACTGTTCTTCGTGAGGAAGGCTTCCGCGCTCTGTACAAGGGTTGGCTTCCATCTGTTATTGGAGTCGTAAGTTCTGAAATATTATACATATATATTAAATATCTGGTTTTGACTTTAATATGATAAAAGGGTTGTCTTCCATCATTTTTTTCCAGGTACCGTATGTGGGTCTGAACTTTGCTGTGTACGAATCTCTTAAAGATTGGTTAATCAAATCTAAGCAATTTGGTCTAGTCGAAGACAATGAATTGGGTGTCATAACGAGGCTTGCATGTGGGGCCGCAGCTGGTACAGTTGGTCAAACTATTGCGTACCCACTCGATGTGATTCGTCGAAGAATGCAAATGGTGGGGTGGAGTCATGCATCTTCGATTCTCACTGGTGATGGTAGAAGCAATGCCCCACTTCAATATACTGGCATGGTTGATGCTTTCAGGAAAACCGTTCGGCACGAAGGTTTCAGAGCATTGTACAAGGGACTAGTCCCCAATTCTGTCAAGGTTAGTCCTATAAACTTTCGAGCCGATCGAAAATTTTGAGGAAAAAAAAAGAGCCCTTTATATTGGTTTATATGGAAACTTTGTGGAAACCAAACGAGGCCTTAGTAGATTGATCGGTGTGCGTTTACTTGTACTAATGGATGTTTCGATTTTTGTTTAGGTTGTGCCATCAATAGCAATTGCATTCGTGACGTACGAACAAGTGAAAGAGTTACTAGGCGTGGAGATTAGAATATCCGATTGATGCAGAGGGAGAGAGATTTTTTTGTAGGCAAGAAGAGGAAGAAGGTATTTATTCATACAATAAAATATTACCTATTCTGCACAGAGAGAGAAAATTGGAAACTATCCTTAATTCATCTCTGTTTATATGTTTTTTTTTTCTTCGTCTCGATTCGGAATTATTAGCTATTAGTCGAAATCGCTTTCTTCAATAAGTAATAGCAAAGAATAATAATGCAGTAACAATAAGTCTTTTATTTAAGGTTTTGGTGTGTAAGAAGAGAGTAGTAATTTATTTGTTTGTCTGTCAATTTTGAATTTCTGGCAAGTGAATTAGTATTATTGCTAATTAAATATTGTACTCATCTGATCAAAATTTGATACATACATACATATACATGCATATATAATTTAATAATTATATATATACATATATATACAATCTGAGTATATTATTTCCTACGGTGATGCTTTATTTGTTGCTACTATTTTTTGATGCTTTGCTCTTGACAATTTCACAACCTTCTGCTGTGCCTGTTAATTCCAAATTAAATGTTATTAACATGAGAAAATCGAAATTAAATTATATATAATAAATAAAATAAAATAGAATAAAAAAAGTTATACCTGCAATCTCTTATTTTGGTATGAACCTTTGATGTCTGCCTTTGAACAGCCGGTTGGAATTGGTTAAGTTGTCGCCTTCTTGTCTGTATATCAGATTTCGAGGTAACACCATTCTTACCGTGGTCGTGAGGTTCGATCTCCGGTGTGGCCTCGTCGATATTAGACCGTTCTTCAGCTGATAATGACAAAAACGATAAGATTATAACAAGGTTAAGCCCAGAAAGAAGGGATTCGTTCGTCTCCAAATTCGCATCGCTTTCGTCGTCGTTTCCTTCTTCTTGAACGTTGTCAACAAGCTCGTTTTCTTCTCCGTCGGTGTTTACCACAGGCTCTGCCATTTTTCCTTTCCTCAGGAACCTGCCCAAATCAAATATGGAAAATAACAATTAGTAATATATATATATATATATATATATATATATATATATATATATATATACGCGCATGATCTTCATTCATTGATTAATATTTCTTGGTTGACAAGAACCATAAAAAACAAGAAGGAACAGGTACAAGATAATATTATCAATATTCAACGAACCAAGTCACTATATATATATATATGGTCAAAAAAGTCACTATATATATAAATATATTTTTATAATATAATATATTGGTGATCTTAATTGTTGTTGCAATCAGACGGTTTATACACGTCAGTTATATAATTTATTGGTGCATGCATTTCGTTACGTGCATGCATGCATGCATGGGGGGACTGAATTGAAATGTCAAAGGTATCAAACAACTGAATGAATCCCTGCCCTAGATTACTCCAATGGTTGCTAGTATATAACTATATCTATGGCCACATTTATTTTATTTTTCTTGGTTTTCATTAATACTTTGATTCAATTATTTTCTTTTTCTTCAAATTAACTGTTTATCTATTTTATTGTTTTTTTTTTAAATCTCGTGGGAATGGCAGAAGCGGATTATGGATGAATTAATTATTCCTAATTGGTTTTTTTTATTTCTTGATATCATTTTTAATTTATATGACAATATATATTCAGTTTAAAGTGGACTAATTATTAATTAATTCTCAAGTTAGTAGTTAATTATTGCAAAATTATGTTTCAGATAACTTCAGTAACAGTCGATTCAGATTGAAACGAATGATTAGAAAAAAAATTGAATATAACTCTTAGTTCATCACAAATTAAAAAACAAACAACTAAAAAAAAACTCAACACTGCAAAATTGAGACTGTAATCAAAATGGAAGTGTTCTACAATCATCATCTTTTTCCAGCTTCTGTATGTATATATATACATATATATGTATATATACTAGGGCAGTTCAGAATCGGAGGCGTGGCCGGATCTTCTCCGTGTTCGTGGACTCATTGTCATCATCGTTAGCTGACTCTCTGAATTCATCCTCATCGCTCTTCCCGTCGGAGTATGCGGCGGTCTCGATCTTCCCTTCGGCGTACCTGCCCTCAAACATTTTTCTCATTTTAGTAATCTCTCTCTCTATTTTCTCTCTCTACTCTCCCTCTCACACACAGACACACACACACGAGAAAAATAATTACCTGGCTGTTTGGGGGTTCTGACTTCCATCGATTTCTTCGACATAGAGAGTTTCCTGATCATCATCTCCGGCGAAGGCAGCGACGATTTCCTCTCCGGCGGCGAAGTGAACGGATCCTCCACCGGAACGACGCTCTCGTCGCAAGTGGAAGCCCCATCGCTTCCCGATTCAGAGTTCTCCCTCTGGCTCGTCACGTTAGCCCTCTCCCTCTCCGTAACCCTATACGCAAACATCTGAAACGGAATCTGCCAAATCGACACCAAATTCGAGTTCCCGATCAACGGAAACCCCCTCACAATCCCCAATTCAATCTCCCCAAAATCAATCGGCGGCATCGGCGCGTCGATCTGGCTGTGCTCTGGATTCATCGCCAAAAACCTCTTCGCGTAGCGAAGAATCCGGCAAATCGACGAAAACCCCGGCCGTTGATTCGGATCCGTCGCCCAGCATTTCTTCGTCAGATTCGTGATATACTTCGGCGAATGGAACGGAAAAAGCGGCCGCTCCCCTGCCCTGATATTCCGGCTCATCTTCTCCCCCTGCAGATGTGTATCTTCAAACGGAACTTTCCCCGTCAAAACCTCGAAGCAAATCATCCCAAAACTGTACACATCTGATTTCTCTGTGTATTTCAAGCTGATTCTATCGTCTCCGCCAAACCACTCGTCCTGCTCCGCCAGCACCTCCGGCGAGTACCAAATAAACGGCCTGCTCACCGGAGTCTTCTCCGTGAGGCTACTAATCGACGAAGATAACCCGAACCCCGAAACCCTAGCATGTAAGTAACCCTCTGTACCTGCAATGCTCCTGCTCTTGATTAAAATATTCGAAGGATTCAATTCACCGTGATAGATTTTCTTCGAATGCAGATACTCCATTCCCCTGGCTATCTGCAGCATTAGATCAACCGCAACCGGTAGCGGAAACGGGATCCGTTTCCTCGGCCCGCACGTCTCTTTAATGTAACTCGATAAATCTCTGTTCATCAGCTCCATCACTAAGTAGCACTCCTTCTTCTCCTCGTCCGCGAAACCGCACAGAAAATGCATTACATTCGGATGCGAAAGAGTGAAGTCTGCGGAAATCTCCGGTACTAATTGCTCCACATCTCCGAAGAAATGGCGTATGGCGAAGCTCTCGCCGAGCCATTGAATCTCCTTCAACTGGCTCCCGTTTCCGAGCCTTCTCCTCACTTGATAATCCTTCGAGTTCACCAAAGTCGAACTCGGTAGTAATAGCGACGATGATGTTGAGGAGGAGGAGGAGGAGGAGGAATTTAAGTAGTTTAGAAGAAGGTCGGCCATTCGTCTGTCACGTTTCGAGTGTGAACTCCCGGTGTTGTTTAGCATCTTGTCTTTGATTTTCTTGATAAGGAACCATCTGTCTTCGTCCCAAACGGACTCTATTCGATTGCAGAAGTCTTGGGAAACGAGGTAGTGGTCGCCTAATATCCATTGGAAGATTCTTGGATCCCTCCAATCTTTCTGGTATTTGAGCGAGTAAACGAATTTCTTGCGTTGGATTTCGTCTTGATCGGATCCCGATATTTGTCCGGCCATTTCGATGGCTTCGATCACTATCGGGATTGTGCTGAGCAAGTTGTGTATGTGGAACTCGACGCAATCGGAGTTTTGGTAGAGGACAATTGCTTTCGCCCAATAGTCTTTCGTCTCGAGGCACTGCTTGACGTACGATTCTCCTTCTTTGAATACTCGGAGAAGCTCCTTCAACGGATGCTCGATGATTTTCCATTTCGTGTTCTTCTCCTCGAATCGGAGATTCTGTTTCATATGATGCGCGATCGTTTCGTAGCCGGAAGTGAGCATGTCTACCAACAGACAGCATTGTCGGGGGTTGAATACGTGGTTTTCGAACACCATTAGTGCCTTTAAACTTCCCAAAACTTCTCCCATTTGCCTGAATTGCTCCATTTTTTTTTAAATTTCGAGACGGATCTGCGAATAAGAATCACGAACGGGGATTTAATATCTTCGAGATGGATCCGGAGACGATATATATACGATGATCAAGAAACCGAAGAATTTTCGGTTGTGGCATTTGATTTTCAGACAGAAGCATGCATGCAAGAACACAACACAAACAAATTGTGTGTTGATTAAAGAGATAAATTAAGAATCAGAATCTGGATTAAAAAATGTGATTAATAAAAATTAAATATGATTGTTGAAGATCCAAGAGGAGAGAGAAAATGGTTCCTCTTGGATGAATCTGAATTATTGCAGAGAAAATCTGTAACACCACCTGGCACCTTATTTGTTCTTATAGGTTTTTTTTTGCATGTGGTTGAATACCTCATTTTTTCTCGCAAGCTAAATAAATAAGTTTATTAAATATATATTATATTATATTATATTATATTCCTAAACCAAAATATTTTAATTTTTTCAATAAATGCGATTTATTTCCAAATTTTGCTCCTAGATTAATAAAAATTATATTATTCTAATTATATCGTACCAACTTCCATTTTTTCAATGATTTTAGCCAATCTGATATTTTTTTTTAATTAATAGCCTTTAATCATAAAATATATTATTATAGTATAAAATAATAAGATACTTTGTAACGTAATACTCCTTAATTATCAGCCGTTTAAAATAACTTTAGCCAAACGAACCCTAATCAAAGATTTGAAAGAGAACTTAATTACACTAGGAGTTGTAACCATAAGATTTCATCAAACTTTGGATAAATTATAGTTTTCGCCCCTCAAATTTGCATCAATTACACATTAGTCCTTTTTGTTTACAAAAGACACATTTGGTCCCTCATGTTCCAATAATTTAACAAATTTTTTTTTCCGTCAAATTGCCGTTAGTCCGTTAGTTAAAGCAGTGAGGAGCGTACACTTAATTCAGTTAGTTTTGACGGAAAATTGACGGAAATGACTAAAAATGTTGAATTTTTGCAACATAAGTGACCAAATTTGTTTTTGTAAACACGGGGGACCAAATATATAATTAGTCCAAACTTAAGGGACAAAACTGTATTTTTCCCAAATTTTTATTTTGAACTCCTAAAAAAGTACATATTCAAACTATTGTGGTACAAATGCTAATTATACAAAAAAATAGGGTTCCTTTTGTAATTTTCCAAAATAAGGGGGTAGTATCACAATTCTCTGCGGAGATCGAAACCACTCTCCATCTGATGTACCAGTGAGCGATTTTACAGTTTGAAGAAGGTATACAGGGAGGGAAGAAGAGGAGAGATGCAGTGGTATATCGTCGCTTCAGTACTCACCATTCTCACAAGCTCTCAGGTTCGGAATTTGAATATTGATCTGTACGGATTCCGATTTGTGTATGTAGAATATATTCTTTTGTAATTGCTAAAAGAAAAGTCATTAATGGAGTTAGGGTTTTCTGTTTTCGTCGTTTTTGGCAGGGAATTTTGACAACATTATCGCAGAGTAATGGGGGATACAAATATGACTACGCTACCGTGCCTTTTCTTGCTGAAGTTTTCAAGGTACGTTGTTGATTTTGGAACAAATTGGCGCAATCAAATTACAGTGGGTTTTGGTATCCAGTTTCTCTGTACATGGATTAGGGAAATGTAGAACATTTTGAATTCAGTCTTGATTGGAGATTTTTGTAATTGAGATTAGGATTATGAGATGAGAATTAAACTCACTTTTTGCTGAATTCAGGCATATTCCCCTTTTTTCGGTTGCCGAATTTAGACAGGGTGGGGAGTTGGGGTTGTAAGCAAACAGTTTCGACTAAATTAGAGCGCTGGAATGCTTAAATTACTGCGACTTCTTTTGCTATTGACGGGTTTTTTTTTTTCTAGTGCAGCTTATTGTATCCGTTGTGTTACTGTGGAGAGAGCTCCAGAGGTCACCTTCTCCGAAAATGACAACTGAATGGAAAAGTGTTCGACTATATCCAATCCCGTCGATCATTTACCTCGTCCACAACAATGTGCAGTTTGCTACTTTGACGTACGTGGATACCTCCACTTATCAAATAATGGGCAACTTAAAGATTGTTACAACTGGAATACTATTCAGGTACTTCATCAAGAGTTATTACTCTCACATCATTTAAATGTTGACGTTGTACAATTAGCGGGGTTTCATATTTTTATTTCCATTGTTAGGCTGTTTTTGAAGAGGAAGCTTTCTAATTTGCAGTGGATGGCAATTATTCTATTAGCTATTGGAACGACCACTAGCCAGGTGCTGCTGGGATCTTTCTACTTACGCTTTTGTTACGCTTGTTCGTCAAATCATATTAATATTGGAGAAGTGCTCGATTTTAATGATTATTAAAATAGACAAAGATGCTACATGGTTATAGTACCTTGGGGCTCATGTTTTGTCATTTGGCAGTAATATGTTGATTGTTTCTTACTCGATATAGGTGTTCATGTAAATATAACTAATCTATGTAAATATGTAGCTGTGGTTCTCGGTAGTCTAAGCCTTTATCTTATGTCGACATAGGTAAAAGGTTGTGGAGAAGCTTCTTGTGACTCACTCTTCTCATCACCAATTCAAGGATACATGCTGGGTGTATTATCTGCATGTCTGTCTGCATTGGCTGGTGTTTACACGGAGTTCTTGATGAAAAAGAATAATGACAGCTTATACTGGCAGAATATTCAACTATATACGTGAGTCTCCTTTAATAAAGAACGATCAGATGAGTATAATTGCACAATGCGCACCTGCCTTGAATGATATTTTTAAATCACCTGATATCTTCGTTGTTTTTTGAGAAAGCAAGAGGAAGGGGAACAGTGAGACGATTCATATTTGTTTGTTATTGAATTTATCATTAGCCGTGGCTATCATGATTAACTTAAGATAGAAGCCTGTAAAGGATTTTCGTAATTTGAAGCAATTTAGCAAATTCTTCCTCTCAGATTTGGTGCAATATTCAACATGGCAAAACTAGTCGTGGATGATTTTAGAACTGGGTTCGAGAATGGACCATGGTGGCAACGTCTATTAAATGGATATACAATCACAACTTGGATGGTAGTCTTAAATCTTGGGTCAACTGGGCTGCTGGTGTCGTGGTTAATGAAATATGCAGACAACATTGTTAAGGTATCTATTACTTCCATCATCAGTTCATTCTTCCTTCTGTCGTTTCTTGTTTTCAGAAAACGAACTAAATATAGTGATTATGATTGAAATCCTTACTAAATCTTTACTCGTAATTCAATGAGTTTCCAGACTTCCTGTTTTTTTTCTTTTGCCTTTGACCATCTTGCCTTTCCAAGAAAAGAGCCTCTCGTATTCTTACTCAAATACTCCCTCCGTCCCAATTTAAATGACGTTTTGGGTTGTTTCACACATATTAAGAAAATCAATAAATGTGTATAGATTATAGTAAAAAGCATAGGAAAATACTAATATATCCTTGACATTAATTGTTTTACAACTAACTAATTAGGAGTTAGAAAGGGTAAAATTGAAAATAGTGCAATTAATGATGCATTGAAAATTTAAAATGACAAATAATTTGGGACAATAAAAACTCTCTAAAAAGACATATAATATGGGACAGAGGGAGTATTAAGATTGCCAGTTATGCTTTGATTTTTCTTTCAAGTATGATAACAAGTAAAGGTGATCGACTTTTTCTCTTCAACAGGTGTATTCCACGTCCATGGCGATGCTACTGACAATGGTAATATCTGTGTTCCTTTTCAACTTCAAACCAACTGTACAGGTAATTCTCCTACATCTTATTTCTCGTCGGTGTTATCTTTCTTGTTCAATCATAAAAGAATGTTCGATTTTCCCCTCCCATATAATTTTACAACATCAGTACATTTTGCACATCGTTAACTTTTACTTGTTATGTTCTGTACTTGTGCACACACAGCTCTTTTTGGGTATTTTTGTGTGCATGATGTCACTGCACATGTATTTTGCCCCTCCAAGTATGCTTGTGGATTTGCCTTTGACTTCAAAAGCCGCACCTGAAAGTGCAGTCGAAGTTTCTGTTGATCGAAAAGCAGCTTCATAAGAGCATCCATTCTTTTCGATTTTATATCAGTATTTCTCGAGGGTATCAAATGGGAATCTTTTCCAATCATCGGGGCGTGTGAGATGTACAGTGCAAGAGGTGTAGCAACA